CTCATGAAGCGAGCGAAAAGAATAAGGGAAACTGCTTTAAACACTTGAAACTAGATGAACAAACTCTGCAAAATATCTTGACAAGGGATTTTATAGGACATTACAGGATCTAGATGACCTTTCAGAAACTTCTAGAATACCACGAATCAGACATATAGAAGGGAATAAGAAAGGTCGAAACCAAGGGATGATTAAACCAAATGAGTTCCAATTTGCAAGAAATCACGTCATAAAAAGAGCTCCCAAATGAAGAATCTGGAAGTTCAGAAAGAAATCGAGATCTCCATAAGCTTTCGGGTCTTATTCGGGATAAGAAAGATCAAAAAGACACGCACAACCACCTCCGGTAAAGCAAAGTGGCAATTGATCCAAAAGGTTTACGTGTATTTCTACCGTATCCGTAGGGTGGCATTGGAGCGCGTTAGCTTCTGCGTCCTTTAAGTTTTTGGCGCAGGCTGGGAGCGCTTCTTCGCGGCGTTTAACGGATACGATAGGGTTTTATAATGTACCGAAGTATCTTAGGGAATATCACCTTGTATAACGGGATTCATGCCTCTCACTTTCACGTTTGAACGTGCTTCCCATGAAGGGCAATCTAATCTAGACGATGGATCGAATGATCCACCCCGGAATGCGGTTGAGGGGTATCAGTGACTTCATTCTCGAAGTACTTATCAGTGTAAGCGTATATAAACGTTATGCGGTGAGGTCAAAGCCATTTTAGTTATATTCATATGTTCCAGCGATCTCCTGGACTTGCCACGCAGTGTGCTACATGACCGACGTTTTCAGAAAGAATCAACGGTATTTGACTGACGGATCCAGTTTTCTCACGCCCAGGTGCTACAGCTGCTCCTTCCAGACGAGCTCGGACAGGCTAGTGTGCAGAGAAGCGGAGTCAGACAGACGCGGACACCCTTGCTCCTCTGCGTCTCTGCCACACTCTGCTTCTTAGTGCTCAAGCTTGTCCGAGTCAATGTGGTGTCAGTGTCGTCTAACTGTGTCGTTTTCAGAATGGGTGGATTTCATGAAAATAGGCTTATTCGATGTGTACGAGAACGTGAGAAGGAAATCAGAACGAAGCACGTTGTGACGGATGTCGGCGGAAAAACGCCATCGCAGGACATGAAGGTGAACATGTCCTCAACAGCTGAGGTGTGGCGACTGAAATCGTGTTACTTTAGGTGGATCGCTGGTTTCTGACGAGATTCTCCATCGATAATGCCTATGGCGGCTTATGCGAAGAGTTCTTCTCATTAGATGGCGGACCGAGTGCGTGGGAAACACAGACCGGCAAAGGAAATCCATTCATAGCGACTCCACTTGGTGGAAACACGAATCGTCAACTCAAGGTGGGCAATGTTACCTTATCAGGGGTCCCAGCGGTCGCGGAAGCGTAAACCCACCTTTCCGTCCTTATCGGACCCGTACGGTCAGGTTGGAGAGCTAGTGTTGCAGCCGTTGACAAGGCCAGAGCAGGTGACGAACTGAAGGAGAGGTACTAGTGGTGATTGGTCGGCGAGCGCTAGGAGTGAAGAGCCACTGGAGGGTGGTATCGCGCTATGTGGGCGGGGGCGGCTGGGAGGTCCGTGTGTGCGCACAGACCGCGGCCGAGACAGGTGAAGGCGGCGGTCCCGTCGCGGCTATTCTTCCAGCGAGGAAAGTGTGTGACATCTGCGTGGAAGTCCTCTGAGAACCGTGTATAATGCCCCGCGCGCGACTCGCTAGCCGCTGTGTCGCTTTCGCCGCACTGCCCGCCGCAGGTACCGGTGCGGCCTTCACATCGCGACAACATGTTGTGACGACACGAAGTGGAATGGGATACTGTGGCAAGAAAAGTGTGGTAATTTGCCGCGCCACCGGGCCGATTTCGAAGGTCCCACAGAGATATAGGACGCTTGAGTGAAAATGTACGATGGATGCACAGAATGAGCATAAGTGTGCTAACAGTTTCTGTGACAGTCGAAGAGCCGATGCTCAGAGTCGAGAACGAGGTAGTGCAGGTGTATGAGGAAACGTAGCTGGGCCATTGCGCGGCGATCGGGTGCGAAGTGCCGGTGCATGTGCCGTTTTGACGAATGTCGGCTTCGCCCTTGCGACGCGTGTCGAGCGACTCGAGTCACCTCCAGAAACCCTCCTACGTGATAAGGCAGCGGCGCTGTCATTGGCAAAGGAAGATGCCAAATGGATTTGTTTTTTTTGTTTTTTTGCGGCCGGTCCGGTGACCTTGCCAGGAACGGGTTTAGAAAGTGTCGGATATCGAGTAACTGGTTCTCCTCGAAGACAAACTGGCAGTCATCTCCGGAAAGCGCGTCCTTTTCCATGTGCGAGGACTGAATGGTTTGGCAGGCAGCAGTAGCGTGCCACTTTCTCACCTGAGCGGTACCGGATGCCGTCTCCATACTCCGCTTACGCTAAGCTCAAGGTGGCGCTTTTGCGTGGATGCCAAGATCCCGCAACGAAACGCACGGAGAGGACAACCGGATTTGAGAGGGCGCAGACAAGTAGCGCGTTTGGCTATGATTATGGTGCGGCTGGCCGTGCGGCAGCGCGGGCGTGAGACGGCACTCGGTTACGCTACTCGCCCCCTCCCCCAGGCCCGTTACCGCGCTCTTTATACGAGAGTTAATTGCACGCCACTGCAGCTGAGGACTCATTCACCTCGCACATGGCAACGACCAGGACCCACGGGGGTGAGTGTACCATTTGTCCTTGGATGTTACAACGCGAGTACGACAAATCGACGATTTACCAGTGAGGAGGAGGAAGGGAAGCGCTGAAATTGGGGATGCAGTTGCTAATATAGGTGGCTCACGGCTTGGTGGGCATTTCGGCTAACGCAGTGAACCGACACAAATCCTTTTACCATCGAGCGCACTGTTCCAAGAGCTCGTTCTACGGCGTCTGGAGAGGGCATGTCACGGGTTTTCTTGTGCCGCGTGTCTGTGAAATGTCGACGGATCGGATGATGCCGTGCTGGGCGGCATCTTACCTTCATCATGCCTGGCGTCAAACCAAGTAATCGGGCTCCTCTGACCTAGCATCGGTCTGCAGATAGCGGTGGATCCACGCCCTGTACGGGTACGTGCGGAGGACTTGCTAGGCGCAGTTCGTCGACGGAGGGGGGGGGGCATTTTGCACTTTTGCCACTTCCCATCGACGTGTCGAGCCATCGAGAGAGCCTTGCGAGAGTTGACAGGTTTTATCATGGTGGCTGGACGAGCTTGCTTCAGCTTTACAACAGTTCACAGGTTTCGCCAGAGTGAGTGAGACTTGTAAATCGGAATTAGGCTGCGAAAGTGCAAAATGCCCCCGTCGCCGAACAGTGCCGACTTGCGCTTTCCTTCGCTGGCCTACAATGTCACCCGGGTGCGTCACTGCCATCCACAACCTGTGGGCCCTTACTGCCCCTTCACGGTGTGCACTATGGCCACGTACCTGATGTTAACCCGCTCACTCACGCCCATATGCCAAGCGCCTAACCTGAGGACGAATGCTCACAAGGCTGACTAAGCCTGCAAAGCCATGA